TATCTCTCTCTCTCCCTCTCCCTTCCTCTCTCTGAAATCAATAGACATATATTTTTTAAAACAATCTCTCAAAGAGGTGTCCTGCAGTACTTTGCACCCAGGCTTTCTCCCAGGCTCCAGATCCCGTCTCTCTGTGCGACTTCAGCAAAATTACTTCTTTGAGTTTCAATTTTCTCCTATGTAAAAAGAGGGCTATTATCTATGTTGCAAGTATGATGGGAAAACTAAAGATCATGTATTTAAAATGACTCATAGTATGCTTAATCCATTATAGGTGTGGCTTTTATTATTGCACTTTGATCAAAAGCCATAAATGGAATTAACTATTGTTAAAAGTATCATTATAACCATTTTAAAAAAATCAATTTTTCCTTTTAGCTAGACATGGTCTTTTTGCCAGACTAGTATTCACTTGCTTCTGGTTGAAACGTAGGCCAGGTCAACTACCTGCTTTCAATATGCACCTAGAGACGAATATTTTGAATAACCACAAGGAAGTGTGGAAATAAGAGTTAATAGCTGACATTACATGTATTCAAATCTATTTTGTTTTTATTGGACTGAATGGCTTTGGTTCAAGTAATACCTTTTTGGACCAACTGTTTAATGCCTGATAAAGCAGGACACATTACATAGTCATCATCATGAAGCAAAGATGAAAGGAAAAGCTATTTCTTAAAGCCCACTCTCTTACTAAAATCTGAATTCACATCTTAAACTGAGCAGTGAGATCTGCTCAGTTTAACGAATTTCAAGATAATGAAATCTGTATGTTAACTAGATGTTGGATTATATCACATAAAAGAAGTATGTTCCTTACTATCCTAAGTATGGTTTTGTTACTCAGTTTCTTCTCATGAACATATCAGTTTTATAATGCAAGCCAGGAAGAAGTTTAACTTCCTAGAATTCACAAAAACTCCATACTCTTTATGCCAAAGAATGCTTATATTCATTTAAAATGTCCATTTTAAATGAATCTAACTTATCAAAACCTATAGGAAATGAATTTAAAGAGCTATATCCAAATAGTACACTCTCCCACTCTGCAACTCATTTTCAACATTTTTCCTCACATAATCTTTTACAGGGTGTAAAAAAAAAAAAAAAAAAAAAAAATTCACATATGCTATTGGTGAAAGTATAACAAAAATACAATATTTTTGGAGGTCAATTTAATACCACCTGTCCTCAAGGATACATTGAATTTCAGGGAATTTACCCTAAAGATAATACAGTACAGGTGCCCAAAAATATATGCACAAAAATATTCTCTGCACCAATATTTTTGATAGTTAAATTACAAACAACCCAAAAACCCATCAAAACGGAATTGGTTAAATGAATTAGGGCACAGCCATATTATAATAATATCCCACAACATTTTAGGAGGAACAAGATAAATCTCCATGCACTGATATGAAAAGATATCCAAAAGATGTTAAGTGAAAAAGCAGGTAACAGCTTGTACAATATCAGTCTATTTGTAAGAAAGGAAAAAAACCTGTTACTATGTCCCTTCTAGTTGTATATTCACAGAAAAATATGTCATCAGTTTGTTTGTAGCAGCTCCTTCTAGGGATCTGAGGATTCCCAGAGATTCTTTTTCCTTCACACAAATCAGTATTTTTGCAAAAGCATGCAATATTCTTAATAAAAATTTTAATAAGAAACAAAATATCCAAAGTCTACTTTCTAATAAAAGAGAAAGTACAGAAAATAAACATAGTAAAATTTAAACCAGATAATCGAACCCTGAATAAATTAGAAATTTAGAAAATACTATTAGGTTGTAAATATAAAAAGTACATCCTTAAGGAAAAATGACCACAATTGAAGTATGAAGAACTAAAAAGTAACATTTATCATTCCCTGCCCTCCCCCTCTCCACACAGCATATGAGAAAGGGGGGTGGGGGGGGTTGATTGTTACAAAATTACTATTCATTCTAAAATCTTTAGTTCCATTAAGCAAACCAGTTTTTCCACATGTACATCAAAACAAATCAGTAAAACTGGTTTTGAACACAAGGAAAAAGGGCTGTTGCCATAAATCTGTTTAAAGGAATGAAGTAAGCGTATGATCTTTATTTACTCTAATAGAAAACCCCATGATTAAAAGTTTAGCTTCTAGAACAGTGTTTCTCATAAATCAGAGAAATAAAATTATAGTTCTGTCTTCCATTGACCCTACACAAAATTTTTTTCTCCAGATTAAGTATGTCCCAATGCCTAAGTGGCTAAAAACAAAGGTGACAAAATTACAACTGAAAAATAATTGCAAGGAACTTAAAAATAATTACTACTGGCTCTGAATACCTAAAATCAAGAAAAGACTGGTATCAGAATCAGCCAGGGTAAGAAGGGAATCAACAGACCTTAATGGAAAGTTTAACCTTTTATTTGAATGAGGCAAAGGATACAGTTTTCTTGTTTTCACCCAGAAAATTAGGACACGTAATAGCTATTTAGAGAGAAAAACTATGAACTGCATTATAAAAGGATATGACTATTTAAGCAGAAAATTAACTTAATTTACTATGTGAATCTGTTCATTAAAATATGCTATTAAGAAAAAACAGAATACACCCAAACTCCCAATGCTTAAATCTCCAACAACATACATAACTCTACACTGTGGAAAGGCTTGATATTAACCTTTCATACGATTCACAATCTTTTGTGTGCATACTGTTACTCAGTACTACTCTAGGCACTGGAGTTCCACAGTGAAACACATAATCTCTGCCCTCATGGAGCTTACACTGTACCATACAAACAAGATGCAAAGTGAACGGGCGTGAAAGGCTTTTTGGAGGACATGACATCTGAGTTAAGAACTGAATGACAAGAAAGAAGCAGCCATGTGACAATCTGGGAACAGAACTCTCCAGGCAAAGATAATACAAAGTACAAGGGTACTATAAGGTATTTTAATGGATTGTCTCTAAATCAATTTTTAAAATAAAATGCATTATCTACTGATTCCTATGTGCACTACAATTTGAAAACCACTGATTGCAAAACCTCTACATGGCAAATAAATAGCATGAAATGATCAGAACAAGATTAAAAGGAAAATAACACTGGTGCATGGTAAGATTCAGTTTATTTTTTGCTAACTATATTCTATGCACTATGCTAAATTAAACAGTCTCATTTTCGGGCTAAAGACATACTGTAAGATATTCACACCATTTATAATTAACAATATTTAAACTAACCTTGTGATAGACTAGGTAAAAAAGTAGTTGAAAAGATAAAGGTATTCAGTTTTACTCTTAAACAGTACAAAATTTAAAATACCAAGCTAGCATCTTCACTTGCTAGATTTCAAAAAATGTCAAGGACTCATAATACCTGAGGATGGTGAGGGCAAAAGTGAAGGGATGCTCTCATTCAGTGTAGTTGTGCCATAAACTGGTTTAACTTTTTGATAGCTAATTGTCACTAGCTACCAAATTTATGATATGTATATGCTGCAAATTTGCTACAGAGAGAGTCCCATCCAACAGTACAGAACTGCATATAAAAAGGTTATGTACTGCTCCTAGTAGTGAAAATAGTCCAATGTCCATCAATAATGGATTAAATAAATAAATCATGAAATATCTACACTATGGAATACTGTGCAGTATTAAAAAAGATAATGATGTAAACTGATGCACAATGAAATGAAAAAATGTCCAATACACAATGTAAAAGGAAAATATTGCTTAATGGTTTGTATATGATATAATGTTTGTGTTTAAAAAAAGGTGTGCCTATCAATAATGCATAGAAATAAACATATTGTATATGTATTGAAAATATCTAGAAGGAAAACTGTTATCACTGGTTTCCTTTTTTAGGACTGGGATTGGTGAGAGAGGAGAGAAGCAAACGGGCAAAGATGTTTACAGTTCATAAACATCTGTACTAGTCTTCCCCCGCCAACAGTGAACACAGATTACTTTAAAGAAACTTTAAAAATGTTTCAAAAAATTAAAATGGGTTTGAACTTATCTATAGCTTAGAGCTAGGATAATATCTTTCCAGGGCTCTTCATATCAGGGAACATAGAAATGGCCTCAAATATTGAGCTAAATATTATAATGACATTCCTTAAAATGAAATTCCACTCATAATTAATAGGAAAACCATTATACAAACTAGTATATTTAGAGCTTCTTTTTACAACACTTCAATGATATTCCATCATGTAAAATACAGTCTAATGTGGTTTGCAAAGCCTTCAGGGATCCATGCTTCTCAACCTTTAATACTCATGCAACTCACCAGCAGATCTGGCTAAAATAAAGATTCTAATTCAGTGGTCTGTGATGGGGCCTGAGATTCCCTTTCTAGGGAGCTCTGCAGACCACATTTGGAGTAGCAAGGATCTAGCTCAAGTTCATACCTCACCCCTCCCCACACTTTAGATTTAGTGAATTAACTGCTCTTCCCACATACCATGTTCTTCACACCTCTGTACCTTTTTATATCTTATTCTTCATTGTAAATGGTTTTCCCCTCACCACCTCCACTTCAGAAACTTTTACTCTTTGTTATAGTTTAGTTCAAACATCACAGGGACTGCATGCATGTGCAGATGCTGCTTCCTTTGTATTCCAAGGACCCTAAGCATTCACGGTTAACTTACCACATTTGTCATTCACATGTCCACCTCCCTCTGAGACTGAGAGTCTGGGGGTAGAAAATACCTATCCTTGGCACGCAGATATTCAATAAATGCTTTGAGTACAAGTCACTATGGTATGGAGTTTCTGCCACCATTTTTGAAATAATGTTTGTCACAATCACTTTTATTCTATAACATCTTCTTTAAAGTAATATTCAATAAAAAATACTGTCAAATTATTAAAGGTCTCTTAAAACATAAGACAATACATATTCAAAATTAAAGTAAAATGTAATACTATTTGATGAAATGTTTACCTTATTGCTGGGAAAAACATACTAATTTTACTCTAGGGTAAAAAGGATAAAACAAAGATGGTACTCTTTGGTAGACTTTCAATTTAAATACTTAAAGAAAAATAGGAATGGCATTAAATTTCTAGCATACTTTCTCTCCTTAAATTATGAATTAAAAACAAATGCCAGAATAGTATCTTAAATCAAATGCTAACACTTGCATCCCTCGTTACTACTCACCTTCCTCATCGATCCATTTCATGGTGAAAAGCTGTTCATTGTCAAAAGAACACATGTCCCGAACCTCATTGCAAAGGCCCTCAAAGGAGATGGAAGGTTCAAAGTGTGTTATCATGATATCCCTGAAAAAGAAAGGGAGTTTTAAGTTGACAATGATTAAAGTGAATAATGCTCTACACATTACTGAATGCCTGACAATTTGATGGACTTCAGCTATTTTGTGTGTACATCAACATGTGTTGCTTCCAGTCAACTACCTTGGTAGGGTAAAAATTAAATTGGTAAGAAACAATTCAGTCCCCACCTACCTGCTTTAACAGGTGGTAGTCCCACTTTTCCTTTAATATTTGTTGTCAGAAGATCACTCTTTTATTAGGCATTGCACTCCACAGAGGAATGGCTTCTGCCTCATATTTAACAGAAAACTGTTCCAATCACTAGTCCCAGATTTTCCCTTCCCCAAAAGTCTATCCCTTGTCCAAGAGATGGCCCTTCAATAATTTGACAAAGATCTGCCATGTTCTCTTCCTCAGCCCTAACTTCCACAGATTAACCACCCATGAGACTGTCAACCATTTTTTCTATGGAATGATTTTTAGATCTCACACCTTCATGTTCACCTTTTTCCAAAACAATTCCCATTTGCCAAAACTGGTTTTTAAATGATTCATATTTTAAGGTGGATACCCAAAAAACATAATAGACATAAATGTGTAAGCAACAGAATGTAAATCTACCAAGCAGCTATTCATTATAAAACTTAAAGTATAACAAAATGTTTTAGAGCAGAAGCCTGGGGTGTCCTCCAAGGAGCCATGTGAAGCCTCCATGTGATTTAATCACATAGTAGCCAGCCACAGTCATCCTTCCAAAGGTAAGTTAAACAGACTGAATGACTCTAACTGAATACTTATATAACGATCTCTATGTGTCACATACTCTGTTCTTAAGGGTTTACAAAAGTAATGTAGTTCATGTCCTTCCTCTGTTTTAAACTCTTCAAATGCCTTTTGTCTCTCATGTGGAGTAAAATCCAAAGAGCCTAGTAGTCTACAAGGCCCTGTGTGGAGTGGCCCTGGCTACCTCTTCGACTACCAGACAGATAAACCAATGTTTATGGTCCACCACCTATCCCAGCTAGAATGTAAGCTTGGTGAAAGCTCATGACATTCTTAGTGGCCAACATAATGCCTAACACAGAATAGTTACTTGATAAATATTTTTTGAAAAAACAAAGGAAATGACACTGTGTTAGGAACTGTGAACAAACACAGGTACTTGGAACATAGAGCAGGAAACAAGGATTTAAAAATTTTAGTCACCTGCAAAAAAAGTTAAAACTGCAGTCATAGGGGCTATTGAAGGTTAGCAGAAAGTCAAGCATAGAAATTTAATGGCCTTTTTAAAATAATCATTCTCTTCCTAAGTATCTCATGGTTTTCTGCCCCGGCCTTAGAACCCTCTTAACTCGGTTTTCATAACAGTATCTTCCCTGGCTCTCTTTCTACTATATTCTGAACACTTAAGTCTCCTTTTGTCTTCAATCACAAGATATTGTTTACACTTGCTCTCATACTCCTTCCTTCCTCCCTCCCTCCCCTGAAACTTACTTTACATTCAATGCTTTAACTATTATCTCTATGTAGGGGTCTCCTAAATCTGTAATTCCAGCTCTCTGTGGTATTTAAGACTCCTGATAGTCTGGTTCTAATTTCTATTCTCAACTTGATCCCATCATTCCCAACACAAATACTCTACCACAGACATCTGGTTTAACTCACAACCCTCACACAGGAGACCTGGATGATCCAAGCTTTAATCTTGACATTTCCTCAGTTTAAAGCTGAGTTTATAGAGGGAGGTGGGGATCAATCTTAATAGGCACTTCAACATCAACTTCCATTAAACCTTTTTCAACGGAACAAGCCCAATGGTCTATACTTCTAAACCTGTCCAATATGTATCTTATGTTCTACCTTTTGTTATTTAACTCATCATATACTGATAACACATCCTCAACTAAATTGTAAACAACTGGAAGACAAAAATTTTGGGCTTTTTGATATATTCACATAACTATTAACATAATTAAAACTCAAATATTTCTTAACTAAATATAGAAGAAGTATTTTCTAGGAGAAACCCATCTTCCAGAAAATGCACTTATGACAAGGGAATATCACTGGTTATGGTTTATTTGCCTATAAACATTTATAGAATACTGAGTATGTTCCAGGTGTTTAAACAAACTTTATCTTACATAGCCTTCAAAATAACCATCAAACTAGACATACTAATCGTATTTTACCAATTTAAGAGGCAAAAACTTTCAACTCTAGAATATCTGCCAGCATCTCACAGTTAAGAAATAGAACATGAATTCATATCCAAATCTCCTACTAACTCTTGTGGTGGATGCTGTCACCTGACTTTCGCCCTCCCAATCCAACCCCAGAATCACTCACTAGCAATGGAGTATTATACCAGCTGTGGGAGTATTACCAGGAGACGATCCCAGTTGTCAGCCTTCAGAGATTTCACTCCTCGAGAATGATTTCCCTCCTCAAAACAGCCCACAACCAATGACTAACTAGATGTGGGAGTATAAAGGTCCTAGACGTGACTCGGGAAAGCTCTGAAGTGCGAACTCTTCAGAACTTATTCTCTGGAGGGTCAACTGAGGTTTCTGTTGAGACTTCAGGATATCTTGATTCTTTCCTACCTAAGCTTGCTTCCTTCCCTTCCCTTCTATAGCTGTGGGTTCCAAAAGCCCTCCTGTATAAACCTCCTTCATGTTAATCTGAGGCACCACTTTCCACAGGAGGTATTATCAGATGATATTGTTTTGACAAAAACATAATGGATACAGAGAATCACACCTTTAAGAGACTGGCTATTGAAAAATGTAATCCTTGTTTTGGAAATTAGTCTACTTGAGTACCTGAAACTAATTTTTTTATTCTTCAGAGAAAATACATTGCCAGCATATATAATTATACATATTTTATGTCTCCCCCAACTAAATGTAAAATCCATGACAGCAGGCACTCTGTTTTGCTCATTGCTGTACCACCAATACCTAAAGGAGTGTCTGGTCCATAGTGAGTGTTCACTTAATATATATGTTAAATGAATGGAGGTGTCATATGTTGGACTCTAAAGAAAGCAAGGGAAATGTAAAAATAAAAAGCATTCCAGAAAGAAGGAATGGCATAGAAGAGGCAGCCGAAGTATAATGGTTCAGACCACGAGAGCTAAGGCCAGAATGCTTGGGTTTGCTTGCATCCAGGCCCTATCACTTCCCAGCTGTGTAACCTTAAGTGAGTTACTTAACTCCTCTGTGGTTCAACTTCCTCATCGATACAATAGGAATAATAATATCTCAGCCCAGCTGGTGTGGCTTAGAGGTCGAGCATTGATCCATGATCCAGGAGATAGGAGTTCAATTCCTGGTCAGGGCACATGCCTGGGTTTCAGGCTCAATCCCCAGCAGGGGGTGTGAAGGAGGCAGCTGATCAATGACTCTCATCATTGATGTTTCTATTTCTCTCTCCCTTCCTCTCTCTGAAATCAATAAAGACATTTAAATTATATATATATATATAGATATATATATATATATAAAATGGTATTATCAGGATTTAATGGATTAAGTGAATTAATATTTATAATAATATTTATAATATTATTTATAATATTTATAATAGTGCCTAGCATATAGTATACTCAATATGTGTTTAATAAACTTTAGAGATATTACGTATTCATAGAATACTTTAAAAAGAAGTGAAACCTCATCAGAGAGATAAAAATAATCCGACCTTCGAAAAGCAACACACAGATGCTTCTGGTTTAATATGGTAGAGAGAACACACATCTATATCTTTACATCTGAAGGTGCCACTGAAATGACAAATTATCAAAGCCTTTGAAAACAAAAAAAGGTACAAGCAGCAGACCAGAAAGTATGAGAAAGGCCTAGAGGATCAAAAACAGATGGGATAAAATTGACCCAGAAACCATACCAGCCCCAAACAACAAGAGTTAAGAGGAACCTTGAAAAAGAGAAGTTTTATTGACACAAGATTACTTTTCCTTCTCTAAGCATCTAATCACATCACCTGGAATCTTCAAGTGCAGAACACTTACATAAGCATTCATTATAAATTCTTTTTGAAATCACTTTAAAGAAAAGTCTATGAGTTAAAGAGTAGGATGTTATAAGCCTTTACAATGTAAAAATTACTAAGAAAAATCATGATCTGAAAAAAGTGAAAGTGTAAATTAAAAACGTTCCTTTCCCAGTGGAGAGTCAATACTCTAGCTAAAACTAATAATTTAAAAATAAGACCAGGGAACAAGAAAAAAAATAACCCCAATAAAAAATAGGCAAGGAACTTGAACACACATTTCTCCTAAAAGGATATACAACTGTCCAACAAACTTATGAAATGTTCAACATCACTAATCGTTAGGAAAAAGCAAATCAAAATCATAACGAAGTATCACCGCACACCCACTAGGATGTCTACTATCAAAAAAACAGAATAACAAGTATTGACAAGGATGTGAAGAAACAGGAACCTTGTGCATTGTTGGTGGAAATGTAAAAATGGAATTTCCATGTGATCTAGCAAGTCCACTTCTGGGTATATATCCAAAAGAACTGAAAACAGACTCCAACAGGTATTTGGAAACCCGTGTTTATGGCAGCTTTCTTCAAACCAGCCAAAATGTGGAAGCAACCCAAGTGTCCATCAACAGATGAATGGATAAACAAAATGTGATCTACAAAGGACTGTTCAGCTTTAAAAAGCAAGGAAACTCTGACACATGCTATAACATGGATGAACCTTGTAGACATTATACTAAGTGAAAAAGGCCAGTCACAAAAAGACAAATATTGTAGGATTCCACTTACATGAGTTATCTAGAGTAGTTAAATTCACAGAAACAGAAAGTAGAATAGTAGTTGCCAGGTGTTGTGAGGAGGGGAAATGGGGAGTTGTTCACTAAGTACAGAGTTTCAGTTTTGCAAAATGCAAAATTCTGGAGATTGGTTGCACAACAATATGAATGTAGTTAATACTACTGAAGTGAACACTTTATAATGTTTAAGATG